CTTCCTTCCTTCCTTCCTTCCTTCCTTCCTTCCTTCCTTCCTTCCTTCCTTCCTTCCTTCCTTCCTTCCTTCCTTCCTTCCTTTTTCTTGTTTACTTCCTTTCCCAGAGCTGCCTGTTTGGTGGCCATTAGAGCTATCCTATTTCCCATACTATACATGGTAGCAGTGTGCTTCCTGTCCCCTTCAGGATACTTTCCCTTTCTCCCTCCCACATGGCTGGCAACATTCAGTTCCCACCCAGCAGACAATCAGTATTCTGAGTGCTGGAATGATGATATCCGATAATGCGTAAAGAAAATGTAGCACAATGAAGAAAACATTTTTTTAAATTTTGTTTTAAGGAATTATTTTTTACTGTAGCATAACCAAGCTCATTGTGACTGATGTGTCTGTGGAGACATTGCAGTAACTATAATTATTTTATCTGCAGGACAATAGTATCAGACTTAAAACAGACTCCACACATATCTGTAGAAGAGACGAAAGAATGCAACATGGCCCATGAAAGTGAAAGGATGACTGGGATGATTACTAGAGCAGAAGTATTATGGTGGACACAGGAAACCACTTAAACCCTCAGCCAGGGATGGTGACCAGTGTTAAGCAGAGTTCCTGGCAGTCTGCTGACTAGCCAGTACCATTTGGTCCAGTGCGTCATACGCAGCTGCAGCCTGACATAGGAACAAGCTTAGCTGTCAGTGCTGTTTTAAGATTAAAGTTTGGAGGAAGACCCATCGGAGAAAGCTGTGGATTTCGTGTTAAGAACCAGTCGCATGCAGGGCTTCTGAAGGAATTCTAGCATGCCCACATGAATGCTGGAGCCACTTCCATTTCAAGGCCATCGCCGTGTTTCTTTCAGCACCTTGTAATTTGGGTAGAAAAAGTGGGAGCCCAGTGAGAGTGGAGTTTGGGTCAAGAGAAGGGAGGGTCATACGATGGCAAAGGCATCCATCCCAAGGTTGTGGTTCAACTCCTCGTTCGTCTGCTTTCTATCTGTGTGACTGTGTACTGTCCCTCTGCCTCACTCTCCACACTTCTTGAACAGTTCTAAGACAGTGTCTCTGGCAAACATGTACTCAGAATAGTACAAGGATTCTGTCCCCTCCAGAATGTCCAAGAGAAGAGTTTGATATGCAATTCAGTAATTCACTACGCAAACAAGTTTAGTCCTGGCACTGAAGGCAAAATTCTCTCCTATTGTTTTTCCCTCTCTGAGGAGAGCCATGAAGAAGTAGAATTCACTATAGCAAATGTCATTTGTTCCTGCCCAGACTCAGGGCAGTCACAGTTTTCAGGTTTAAGGAATTCAAGGAGAAGCTATGGGGTTGTGGATCCACGTAGCAAATCTTTCCTTGAAACAGAATGGAGGGCAAGGATGATCTAGGAAAACCAAAATACCAGTTTGTAAAATCCACACCAGACTCTGGGAAGAAAAAAAGGCTAATTAGCCAAAGTGGCTATAACATCTATAGAAACATGGTAGCCTGGGGGCTGGAGAGATGGCTCAGTGGTTAAGAGCACTCACTGGCTGCTGTTCCAGAGGACCTGGGTTCAATTCCCAGCACCCACACGGTGGCTCACAACTGCCTGTAACTCCAGTTCCAGGGGAATCTAGTTTCCACAAGTACCAGGCACACACACGGTACACAGACAAATATGCACAGACCCCTTAAAACATAAAACGATAAAATTAATTTACAAAAAATTTAAGAAATATTTCAGCTTACCCTCATTTCTAGCTCGTGGTTTGATGCAGGTAATGCCTGATGTTTTACTTCCAATTTGTACATAAAACTGAACCAGTCTGGGAGAAACCAAACAAACATACAGACTTCAGTTTGCTTACAGACACATGAAAAATAAAAGCTCCCGTCATTCTCAAGTGCCGCTTCTAAAGTCAGAGGGACAGACGATGCGCAGAACGACAAAGATAACAGTAAGTTACTTTGGAAAGCATTTTAAAAAAGTTAATTGATCTGAACAACTATTTCATTTGGTATAGCGATCCAAAGAAAAGACAGTTGAACCCCCATCTCATTGTGGCAGCTGATGTAATTTCATGACAAATTAAAAAAAAAATCTAGATAATGCAACCTTGGGAACTCGAGATGAGGGAAACGATATTGCCTACTGAGAAGCTGAAGACTCGGGAGGGGCATGCAATCACCTGTCTGCTACTGACTCAGGGGGAGCTGGCTAAATTTCCCACGCCAGACACTCAGTGTGATGTAAACTGTGCCTCTGCCACGGCAACTGGTGGGTCCTGCTGGGCTGGCAGGCCTGTGAGGACAGGATGCTGAAGGAAAGTGGAAAGACTGTGGAAGGCAACACTAGATTTTTAGCAAAGACCATGCATAAAATTTATTTATTTATTCATTTTCTTTTTCCTAACTTCCAGGTAATTTAATTGATGTAAAAACAGTCTCATTTTAAGTGTGCTGCTATTTCATTTGCTCGTAGAGCCAAACAGTTCTTGATTTTACCAGTAGGTGGCAGGACAGGCATCTAAGTTTCCTGGGGGCAGTTTTCAGTAAGTAACCACAAATGGCCAAGTACATGGAGGAACCATTTTCAGACATAAAATTCAAAGATGAAAATATGTTTATTTCCTCAGTTTACATTTAAAATATGTAAGAATTTATAGGATAACATAGAACTTTTGAAAACTAAGGTAATCCACGGTTTTAGGTCCTCTACATGCATTGTCCTTCTTTGGGTTGTTTGGGGTATTAGTCTCTGCAGGGTCTCAGGGCTCAGTTTTTTTTTTTTTAGTTCTGTTGGTCTCCTTTTGGAGCTCCTATCACCTCCAGGTCTTTCTATCTCCCCCTTCTTTAATAAGATTCCCTGCACTCTGTGCAAAGTTTGGCTATGAGTCTCAGCCTCTGCTTCAATACCTTGATCAGTAAAGTCTTTCAGAGGCCCTCTGTGCTAGGCTCCTGCCCTGTTCCTTGTCCTTTCCTGCTTCTAATGTCTATCCCGTTTGCCATTCTGAATGAGGCTTGAGCATCTTCCCTAGGGTCTTCCTTGTTGTTTAGCTTCTTTAGGAATATAGATTTTAGTATGGTTATCCTATATTATATGGCTCAGATATAACCCATAGATTCAGTCTCCAAGAGGGTTCCCTAGCAGTGGGAACAGGGACTGTCTCTGATGTGAACTCAGTGGCTCATTCTCTGATCACCTCCCCTTGGGGTGGGGGTGCAGCCTTGCCAGGCCACAGAGGAAGACAATGCAGCCAGTCCTGATGAGACCTGATAGGCTAGGGTGAGATAGAAGGGGAGGAAGACTTCACTTATCAGTGGACTGGGGGAGGGACATAGGGAAAGAAGAGGGAGGCAGGGTGGGATTGGGAGGAGATGAAGACACAGCCAGGATACAAATTGAATAAATTGTAATAAATGATAGTAATACAAAAGTCTAAAAAAGAAAACTAAAGGGAATATATACTAAACAATATAGGCCTTGACAATAAGCGTGTGTTTAATGTTGAGCTCTGGTGTGATTTTTTGTTATATTACCCATTTATTTTATTATATAGCTTACATTAAGCTTCATTTTCTACATATTATAATCCATAGGCAGACACATCATGCAAGATACTCAGTAACAGTAGTCTATTATGTCCAAAAGAAATGTTCTAATCAGCAACTTGCCTGATGTTCCTGGTGTCCAGTGGGACCGTCCTGGCTTCCCTTTTCCCAAGGCCATTGAAGTAGAGAGACCTGCCATCATTGAGTGTGCCACAGCCGGTGCCCACCTGCCCTCCTGTTATCTTGTACCACAGTGGGCTCAGCTTCCCCTCAAATCGGTCGAACATCTCACTGTGGTTAGGGATGTTTGACACACAGGTTCCCTGTGCAGCTTCAGGAGAGAAAAACACAAGTTTTGTTGGAATCACTACGCATTAAAGCATACACTTGGTACCTTGGCAAGAGTCTGTATCTGGCCTAAAGACAGCCATTATCACTAACATAAAAATTGGTGCCAGGCGTGTGGTGTGCGCCAGAAATCCCAGCAGTTGGGAGACAGAAGCAGAAAATTGTGCGGTTCCAGGCTCTCCTTGGCCACATAGTGAGTTTGAAGTCAGCGTGGGCTACATGAGACCCCGTTGCAAAGATAACAAAATGAAAATCGATTGAATTTGCCATTTCTGTCTTTTGAAAAAGATTAATTTTTTAAAAAGTCGTCCATATGTGTGTTTCCTTACACATGTGCACATTTGCCATTTGCACACGAGTGCATGTGCCTGAGGACGCTAGAGGCATCCGATTCCCCGGGAGCTGGAGATACAGGAGGTTGTGAGCCACCGACGTGGGGTTTGGGAGTTAAAGCAAGGTCCCTGCAAGGGCTCTTACCCCTGAGCTATCTCTCCAACCTTGCTACTAATTTATGTTTAAATGAAGACTGACACTGGAAAGGATGGATCTCCATGGCTGTTCCCACCTAGAAGCTGTGTGTGTGAGCAGAGCTCTTGTCCACAATAAAGTCGTTTACTGTCTTTCTACTAAGGGGCTCGCCAGGAAGGTCAACACAGGATTTTAAGATGCTGTCCTTGAAACTACACATGACATAGAAGCTTGCAGGAGCGAGCCAGTCTGCCTTTGGTTGTTCGCCAGAGGAAGGCCTGAGAAATGACAAGCTGGGATGGAGCCTTTTGATGTTGCTGCCAGAAAAAAAAAAACTTTAGAAGGAGATTTTGTAGCTTAAGATATTTTCTCCAATTTTATGCTTTAATCTCTTGAAACTTTTATGCAGCTCTCTTGAAACTTTTGCTATGGCAACACCCAAAGGTGAATGTTGTTAAAAAAAAAAACACACACACACACACACAAAAAAAAAACAAAACAAAACAAAAAACAAAACCTCTCCTGTAAAGCTCTTCTTTTGACAAACTCTTGGGTTTAGCATTTTATGTTCCATTTTAATTTTAAATGTAGAAAAGCATATTTCATATATATGTGTGTATGTATATAGTATACATGTATGTATCTGTGTATGTCTGTATGTAGTATGCATGTATGTATCTGTGATTGTATGTACATGTGTGTATGTATATGTATGTGTGTATGTACGTGTGTATGAATTATATGTGTGTATATATGTGTATGCATGTAGCATGCATGTATGTATCTGCGTATGTTTGTGTATATAGGTGTGTGCATGTATGTGTATATGTGTCTCCGTTTGTATGTATATGTTTATATGTATGTAGTCTGATGAGCTCAGGGGGACCTTGCAGGCATATGGCTAAGAACTTGGTTTGGGTTTCCAAGAATGACTGCCTGAGCACAGGGCCCACGTCTAGCAGTGTCTAGCTATATGACCCAAGAAGAATTGTTTAAAGAGATCCATTCTATGCCTCAGTTTCCTCAAATGTAAACAGTGCTATAGCACAATTATTATTAGAATCAAATGAGATAAAATAAAAAAGTATTTACTATGATGTTTGGCATGATTTAGAACCCCAAGCAATGTTCATTTTAATTACTGTTTAATAGCAAAGATAGTCTCTTTAGGGAGTGAAACTTAGCAGGTTTTCTTTCTTTTTTTAGGTCACTTGAAACTACAGAACACCAAGCAGCTCAAGTGCCTGGAAGGCCAAGTTCTAGAATTCGTGGACACAGAAGACGATAAACTGATGACTGTTTTCTTTGTAAGAATGAAGCTTTACAAGCAGCCTGTCAGAGACAGGTCTTTGGCCTCACCTGTGTATCCGAGGTCACAGAAACACACGCTGGAGATGCAGTCTCCATGGCCACTGCAGTAGCTAGGACAAGGCTCAGATATGTACACTCCATCTAAGCCAAAGGGGGTTACATTCTTCTGAGAGCTGCTCTCCTGGATCCACCGGAATCTGGTCTTGCTGTTGGGAGAAACAAGTCTGTCCTGACGTTCACGTCTCACCAAGCAGAGGAGTGCAGAAAGGCTCACCGAAGCTCACCAGAGCCAGGATTTCCCTGAGTGTCACGCCTGTGTGATACACACTCACCCTTTGCAAGGTGTCTCTCAAATCTTTCTCATCCCTGCCAGATCTCTTCTTCAGCACGAGCAGTTTAACATCCAGGAGGGAACAGGTACAATGGTCTTACATTATTTTTTCTACAGAAGATCTTTAATGTCGGATAGATAATGTTTGCATGTTTTTTTCACCCCATGCTCCCCATAACCAGAGATTACCCTTTTAATTTTCACCCTTCCATCATGCTAATTTTATGGTTATTTTTAGAAAGGCCATTTGAAAAAAATTGAATTTATTATTTCACAATTTCACGCATGTATATAATGCATTTTGATCATGTTTACTGCCATGGTACTCTCTTACATGCTCCCCTGTTCCCTCTGGAATCCTTTTTTCCAACATATTATTTGGCAGTCTTGAGGTCATCAAATAGAATGCTTTTTGTTGGGACATGCAAAGAGACTCTGGCTATTTGACATTGACAAGGGAAGGCAAGAGCTTGTAAGATAGCTGTCTTTCTACCCATGATTCCCATGTCCTCCTTGTCTCATCTTTAAATCTCTAAGTTGCTTATTCTGTGATTATTTAGTAACCAGACGGGATGCCTTTCAGCACTGCTGTGAATGAACAAAGAAAAATCGCCTTTACTACTTTGAGTTGGGAGTATCAAACTGACCAAGATTTCACTACTGTGCAATTCTTTTGGCATTTCTCCACATTGCACCTAATACCTGGTCCTGCTTCTGGTCTTGGTGATACGACACTGGGTTTGAACACAAGTGAGTGTCTTCAAAGTTCCTGGGATAAGAAGAGCTCGTAAAGAATTAAGTGAGCAGTGGCCGTGACCATGAGGTACCACATCTTGCCTGAAAGCAAGAGACAACTAAGAGAAGAGTTAAGCTCTGTGCTGAACCATAGATACTGAACCATAGGTTATTTGGGAAGGAAAGAAACATGAAAGAAGAGCTCATGTAGCTGAAATTTGTTGATGTAACTGTCCTCAAAGGATTTTCGTGAAGTTGGCAGCCCTGAAACACCATAATTATTTGATATGCAGACATATGAGTTTAAGTAAATATCTGTTAAAGTGGAGTTGTGGGGTTCTAATCACATTCTAAATATCAGTTCCCATACCCACAGATAAGTGTCGTCCTTACCCCTTATCAAAGAAACTTCTCTTTGCAATAGGCAGGGATGGTCACAGAAAGCCACAAGCAATCAAACTGCCCATTTGTGGAGCCCGTGCCAACTGATAGATCTACCACACAACTCCTGCACCCGAGCTCCGGGGTCGTGGCTGAAAGAGTGTAAGAGCCAGAGGAACAGACAGTATTCTGTGAGACTGTGTCTCTTAGGAATGTGAGACTGTACCCATAAAGCCTAAACAGGGTCTGTCTACACAGGAGCAGAACAAGGACAACAATAGACATGCTAGCTTGGAGGGGGAAAACCTCAAAAAAGCTATAGGCAACTAAGGAATGCCAAGTGTGGGAAAAATAGTCTTCTCCAGGGAAAAGCAAGCTGATTGGTTACCCAATACATACATACAAGTAACATAGCAGACTAAGAAGGTTGCACCTATGTATTTAGGAACGCCCACCCCATTCCCCACATCCCTCCATACCCACATCCACACACCAGCAATTAATGAAAATAGAGACTATACGTTGAAAAGAGCAAGGAGGGTTAGTTATATGGGAAGATTTGAAGGAGGGAAAGAAAAGACGAAGGTGATGTAATTACACCATAATTTCAAAAAAATAATTTAAAAAGTTCATTATAACAACAATTTGATGATGATGATGATGATGATATAGAACTAGTCAGACCATCCAAAGGAAGGGGGAAATAAGCCAAAGTTTAGCCAAAAAAGAATGTCTAGATTTCACATTAATATTTGGAGATGGAGCCTTTGCAATACATTATTTGTAGACTTCATGTGTCTCAATGGGGAGGCCTTTGGGAGTTGGGAGTGACACATATACCATTATATATTCACCACTGCCAGTGTCTGTCTTCTGTAGGCAAGAATCAGGTGGCTCATCGGAGCACAAATTACTCCTTTGAAAATTCCTCTTAGAATTATTTCTGAAAGAGCAAGTTTCCAGTAACTCCTGTAAGAATGCTGCCTCCTGGCAAAACAGCTTCAAGTCTTAATGCTTAGATGCTCAGCTTTGAACACTCCATTTGGAGCTTCCTGAGCTCAGCATACTGCAGAGGGTAAGCCAATCACTCATTTACTTGGGGCAGGGAGGAACAGATTTGCCAGTCTTTAGCAGAGGGCTCGTCATCACAAATGCCACCAATCAACAGGCTGGGTGGAATCCAAGTTAACCAGCAAGCTGGATTCTAATGGAGATGATTTCTTTTTTTCCTCCAAAAGCTGAAATCCAAGAAAATATCCAACTATGGAGAGCCTCCAATTATTTGGCCTACTTTTTGATATGAAGCCCAAGCTTTCCTGATTTTTCGTACATGGTTTTACCAAGTGAGTTATTCTACCCAGTAATGAAGAAACTAACTTACAGATTTAGCCACATTTTTCAGAGCTTGGGAGAAACCACATAAGATTTGTGTTCTTTGACTCTTGATCATCCTGCCTGTTCTCATGGGGATGTCTTTAATCACCCTGACACTCTAGTCATTGCAGCAAAGGGGTCTGCTGGATCCTCTCCAACTATATTTATGTTTTAGGAGGAGGAGCAGTTTGGGGCCACGCTTTCAGAAACCATGCAGGGTGGTTGAGGTAAGACAAATCAACAAACAAACAAATGGCACTGATACAGGCAGCTTCAGATGACTGGAGGCAAGATGACATGACTACCACAGACGGCAAACACTAACAGGCTCCTACGGAAGTGCTTCCTCAGGGAGGGACCTATGTAGGGCAAAACCGGCAGTTTTGGGCTGAGAATTGCTCTCAAAGAGAACTGTCTTTTTGAAGGTGACTCCTTATACCCTGCTCTCGGATAAGCGAGACTGAATTAACAAGCATCTTAGTGACAGTCAGACTTCCTATGGGCTAGGTAACTGACTGCCATGTACCTCCCATTTCTTATTGTCCCCTCACTTTTGTTTTTCTCTGCTAAACTACAAAATAACACTGATACAAAAAAAAAAAAAAAACCAAAGAAATTACATGTAACTTGACATGGATCTGATGATTGAAACAGATTTGTGGCTAGTTTTTTTAATAGCTGATATTTAAAGACTATGCTTTAAGCTGAGAGAGGTGGCACATGCCTGTAATCCCAGCACAGGCAGAGGCAGGCATAGCTCTGTGAGTTCAAGGCCAGCCTGGTCTACAAAACAAAAGTCCAGGACAGCCAAGGCTATGTAGATAATCCTGCTCAAACAAAACAAAACAAAACAAAACAAAACAAAAAAAAAAACAAAGGAAAAAGATTATGCTTTAAAGTTTATTGTGCTCACACAGATTTTTGTTTGTTTGAACACATAAGCATCCTAGACAGCCCACCGACAGCGACAGTGCATGTTCTTAAGGTCTACTCACTTAACTAATGATGGAGGCAGAGAATACAATTAACTTGAGTAGCCAGATCAATCTCAGTAAATCTGTGACCAATTGGGTGAAAAAATGCTCCAGGCAGAAAGGTGCTCAGCAGCTTTGTGACCATGCTGCTTCGCGAATAGAACACCGTCCCGGAGCACAGGAAAGGTTACCTTCAGCAAACAACTCTACGCCTCATGACTTCTTCCAAAAAAGTTAGCTTCTTGCTTACTTGGTTTATGCATTGGCAAGGAACCTGCTTCTTGGGCTTGGGGCCTCAGACTGGTGCTTTAGTTCCTGCACAGAGCCCGGGGGATGCTGAGTTCTAGACAGCCAAATGCTTCACCCATTCATTGTGTTAGGCCGCGTCAACGTCTAAAGAGTGTGGGAGTAAGCTGACTCATTTCCATCCGGAAGGCAAAGCCCTTGACTGAGACACACTTAATGTTACCGTCCAGAATTTAATTTCAAAGTGTCTAAGTGAAGAATGTTTCTCCACCTTTTCTAAAACGATGGAGTGAAAACTAATGATCTCTCTCTTGTACCTGCTATATCTGATGCAAAGTGCTATAAATTTATTCTAGAATATTGTGTCTGGAAAAAAAAAACATTTTTACAAAAAAAAGTCAGAATACACCTGCCTTTATTATTATTATTATTATTTTAATTTACCAATAGGGATGAAATGGTTCTGTATTTCTTAGCTGACATCTGCTGGTAGCTAAGTTGGCTCCTCCCTTATTGAAACTCATTCACTTCAAATTCTCAGTCTATTTATCTTATCTTCCATCAATGGATTTTTAATTTTTTCCATTATTATTTGTTTTAGTAGTCTATTTATAGTGACCATTTACAATGCAAGATACTTCAACTTTTCAATGTAAGGAAACAGCAAATAAATAAATATCTATGTATTGAAAAAGCTTTATGTAAGGCCATGCAGTTCTTTTAACCCTTAAAATCTTTTATTTACTGCTGTTTGCCATTGCAACTTGCAATAGGTGGGCGATGAACGGATATTTACTGAATGAGTTAATGCATGGATGAGCAAATAGGCTTCACCATCCATGTACGCTATTTTGGCAATTGTATCTCAGTTTTTCCCTTCTCAGGTCACTCCTTGGGTAGGAAGAGCCAGGCTGTATGCCACTATGGCACAGGACGAGAGAGACTGCTTTACCTGGATGCGAGGGACCTGGGAACGGCAATGGTGATTCGTGTCCATTCTTCAAAGTCCCCCGTATAGTAGACAGTGGGCTCACTCAGTTCTCGGGAGTTCCCCTCACAGCCTTTGCCTGCGGAAGCTGGCAAACAGCCCTCCTTCACCAGGAACCAGGACATGCCGGCATCGTGAGAATACTGCAGGAGAACGGGGGCTGTGCTGCTGAACTGACTGGCACACCCTATGTTCAGCTGTGAGAAAGAAGGACAGAATTAGACAGGGTTTTGATTCAAAGATATTACTTATCAAATTCGGGGCAATGGCAGCCAGGGCCCCCTGCTTCGGGTTGGCATGACATTTACGTGATAAGAAAGTTACAGCTCAGACCGAAGCCAGACCCTCTGTAAAATCCAGGAGGTTTCATTTCAATAGAGACCTGGACAAGCTCGCATCTTGGAGGTTTCTTGAGTCAGGAAGTATTTTTATTCTCATTCCCAGAGGAGACAAACAGGTAAGAACCTGTCCTTCAGAACATAGTTACCCAAAGGGAGGGCTGTCTTTGCTTTCTGTTTATTTCTTTGTTTGTTTTGTCCAGGATCAGTGTCAAAAAATAGCTGAGTTTCTGTCGTAGTGTATATTAACACAATGTAGAGATGTTCTGTGCAAGTCAGACCACTGTCAGCACAGAGTGGGCGTTGCCTAAAAACTGTAAGATGTGCAAACACCACTGCCCCAGCCCAGCTCTTTCTGTTTTTCTGCCCTTTACTTAGAGGCATGCATGGTTGAAACTGTCACATTGTAAGGACTTGCCTTTCACTTTCTGCTTTAGAGGGCTTTGTTATCACACACAGCACTGCAAAGGGTGCACAGTTTTCCCGGAGGGTGATGTCCGGAGAGGCCTCAGGAGTAGTATCACTGACTCAAAAATCTAGAAGCACTTGCATCTATTCTTTTTATGAAAGAAATCCTTTTGCCACATCACTAGGTTTGGGTATTGTAATTTAAGGCAGTTTTTCCCCCCTACATTGATGTATGAATAAATTTTAATGCTGTTTAGTTCATATTTTTGGTAACTACTGCTATCACACATTTGCCCTATTTATGTAGTTGATGCTGTTAGGCCCTGTGCACGGCTCTCTCACAGCACCTGGGACCTCTTCTGCTGGTGACTTTTTAGCATCTTGGCTTATTTTCTAGTTTCTGAGCTCCCTGAGGATTAGCGCTCAGAATTTGAGGTTCTATATCCCCAATAGCTGGTGTTACTCACATGGCAAGCAGTTACCAAGGATTAACCACAACTATAGTTTTATACAAATGATACCAAAAGGTATTTTAAGGGTCTCTAGTATACACTATCAATCCATGTCTAGTCCACAGTTAACAGCTAGCGTTAACTGAGAAACATTATAGCACTCTACGAACTTATTTGATATTAATATCAAGTGTCACCAACACATGCATATAGACACAGGTACTGTTATTGATGCTTTTCCATTGCAGTTTAATATCAGAATGTAAACAAAGGCAGATTACCATTTCCTAATTGTTTTATTTACGGCTAACTACCTTGTGTAAGGGCCTGTGAAAATTCTCCTGGAGAGCTATCCACAAACATCTGATCTCTTTAATGATTCCGTTTCTGAATTATTTAGTGTCTGCATCCTGTTGCTTTGTAAGGACCATGTAGTTGTACCAGCACATTAAAACTGCATTGCTTTCGGCTCCAGGATTCACCAATGGAGTTTTGTTATAAATGAACACAATGGAATTTTTGATTGGGCCCTGAGACAAGAGCTTGTCAAGGTAAATACTGTTTTAGTTGGCATGTTATCACGGCATGGAAAACAACATGCTTTCAGGAAAGTGATGCAAAGCGAGTTAACCATCACCAAATTGCAAGGAAGGGAGACAGCAAATGCTAGAGGAAAATGAAATACAAGCAGGGGTTGGGGGTTTGGAGTCTAGTTAGTGCGTGCAAAATCCTGGCCTTGATTGCCAACACACAATGAGAAGAACTGGTGAGACAGACAACTTATCCAGAAGGATCTGAAAGCAGGGGGTTCGTTACACAGCTCTCAGACTGAGATACCCACCCAATTTAATTTTCAATTATGGGAGAGTCGCATGAGCAACATAACACTACAGGTACAATTTCTGAGACCCCCTCAAAACCTAGCCAGCTGTTCCCCTTATGAGTATAGCTAAAAGCTTCACCGTTCTAAGACTGTGGAGCCTTCATTCAAGTGTGTCCCTTCTTCAACAGAATGTGAAAAAAAAATCTGTGTTCTCTTTTTGTATATACAAGTGGAGTTTTTCATTCCTTCACCTGCTCTGGGAAGACCCCTGTTGCATAAGTACCTTGAACTGGAGTACGTATCCAGGTTTCAGGGTTAGATCTCGAGTTACTGCAAATCGGTCTCCATCCGATTTCCCAAACACCATGGCTGAAGGCGTGGCAGCACAGAAGCTCTCGTTTTTCGCCATGCCTTCATTAGCCAACATGAGCCACACACTCATTTGATTCATAGGATAATCAAAAGCTGGCTTCTCATAAAAGTTCTATTAGGAACAACACAAACAAAAGAGGAAGACAGTTTGGTATCTCTGAAAACAAGGAAGAAACGTTCATCATGTGTACGCGTTTCCACGAAAATACAGAACCACTAAGCTTACTTAAAAAACAACAACAACAACAACAACAACACACAAACATAGAGCAACATTTCCTCTTGATTAAACAACCCAAAATATTTCGATACTATGTATCTAATTATTTTTTAAACCCACTAACTTCTTTTTTTTTTTTTTTTTTAATTTCTAGACCTCACAATCTTTCTCACATCTCAACAGTCTATGAACTAGCTGTCCAGGACTGAGTTTTCTTCCTGAAGAATGAAAACATACACATGGTTAAATTCACAGCACCCACCCCCCCGTCAGACACTAGGCTCTCAAGGAAGCCTGCCGTTCTTTCTCTGACCCACGGTCTCAGTCCTCTGCCTGCTGGTGTTCTGGCGTGAGACGTACCTGGGGCAAGGTTGGGTTGACAACTGGAATAACCTGCTTCTGCTTCTCTGACAGAATGATGATGTCATCGACTGCCCACTGGTCGTAGTCCTCCCCTGAGAACACGGGCTGCCACCAGCGGAACCTGGTACATGGGGTCTTCGCAGCAGCTGGGAGCTCCAGGTAGACAAATCTGCATAAAAACAAATTCTTCATGGCTGGGGGCGCAAAAGCTGTGCTGTGCTTAAAAGCTGGTGAGGTGACAGAGGCAGAAACAAGAGGTTTAGTTTTATTTGATCCCCTGGCACTTCAGGAATCTCTGGGTGTGGACAGATCACACAGGGGGCTTAGGTAGTGAGGAAGCTTTTGTCGTTATTTGGTCCATTTCATTGGTAATTGTGTTTCAACTGACACCGATTCACTGACTTCTTAGTGAAAGGCCATAACTTTAAAAATTTTTTTGTTTATTTTTATTTTATGGATATGGGTGCTTTGCCTGCATTTATGTAAGTAGCATGAGTGTATGCATATATCTCTAAGCAAGCCATATTATATATTATGTCATATTGGTATGTAATGGTCATCATTTTAAAAGAAGTATCTTGGGTTGTCGAGATAGCTCAGTGGGTAAAGGTGGGTAAAGGTGGCTGTTGCCAAGTCTGATGACCCATTTGATTTCCCTATAAATCAAGTGAGTGTGTGGCTGATGTTGGCTAATGAAGGCGTGGCTAAAAGAGAAGGAGGGAACTAGCTTTTGAAACTGTACTGTGTGACCTCCACACGCCCACACACGTGCACACTAATTAACATCGTAACAGAAGAAAAGAAATATCTAGAGAAACTTGCTCTTTTATTGTGTTACTACCTTAAAATAGTATGTTTAAAGTTTCAAAGTAATTCTTACTCATGGTGAAAACTATAACTTGGAATTTAAGACAAACCATAATCATCAATAAACTATATAAGGCTGGGCTCTATTAAATTTTTAATGTGTATCATCATTTTATAATTTATTATATATACAAAGTATTATATAATATAGTTCCTTACATTTTAAAACTCAAATTTATCACAAACAAGTCCCAAGTCTGTAAAATAATTTAAGACTATTTTAATGTTTATGTAATTTTGATCCCATAGGCACACCATTAATTATTTCATACTCTGCATAATTTTTCATGTTTTTCTTGCTATGTATAATTCGTTAGTAAATCATATGCATAAAGCATTTTGCCTTTGATTCTTGGTTTAGATAAGATTTTAGGTAAGATTCCTAGGCATGAAATTACTGGGTCATATTTATAGTCTCACTTTCTAAAGTCCTTCCTAGAAAAGTGGTGATAGTTTGCAGATGAAGTCAGAGAGTCTTACTGTTTCATGTTGAGAGAGCACTTGGAATTATTAAAGATGGTATGTAGCCTGTTTACAAACAGAAATTTCATGCAACAGAATCTCAACATTACCTGTGTCTTCATGAATATTTAGTTTGGGTTTTCTTTTCTTTTTTTTTTTCATTTTTTTCTTCTTTTGTTCTCCTGCTTTTTTTTTTTAATTTTGTTTTTAAAAATGGATTCTCAGCTCTTAAAAAAAAACTTGAATAAGCTTTTTATGGGGACAAGAATCCTTATTTCTCACATCTGTTGGAAATGTCCTTCTCAATTTGTTTTTCTCGACATCATAATTACATAATACATACATACATACATACATACATACATACACAAGTAGTTTTACATGTAGTAAATTTCTATGTGAGTAGTTCTTTTTCCCCCATTGAGTTTATATTCTGTTTAGCTGCTTTTCCAGGATCAGATAGTGATCTGTTGCCTAAATGAGGAAATCCTAAATCACTTTTCACAGCTTTTGGTGACATAAAGTGACAATGTAAACATTCCTCTCACCAAGTTTCCACTATGTCTTAACATGGTCTGATTAATCATTTATTTTTATTGACTGCTGACATGCTCCTTCTCACACACACATTGTAGCCTTGACTGTTTTGGAACTCCTGGAGACCCAACTGTCTCACCTTCACAAGTGCTCTGGTTACTGGTCTGTGTCACCATACTCAACTAACGTCTCTAAAAACCTAAATTAGTACAAGTGGTTTTTGTTTAATCACTTACATGAAAAGTTTTCATACATGACTTTCCTGCCAAACCTTCTTGAGCTTATCTGTTTGGGAACTGTCGACGTTTTAGATACATTTCAGTAACGATTTAATGCCTACCGTCAGTGGAACACACTAGAAGGCCCAGCAGCTGGGAGGTTACCTGGGCTTGCTGAAGTCCGAGAAGTACATTTCCGCCAGCAGGTGCCACTGGATGCCGCCGTTGTTGCTGTACTGGAGGAGGACTCCCTCCTCTCTGCTGTCAGGCTTGTTGCATGAGGCACTCTCTCCTCCTATCTGGATGTAGAACTGGACGAAGTCCACCCAAGACGTGTCCAGATCCCAGCTCACTAGTTGCCTTTTCCCAGCCTTTCCAAAGGACAGAAAATTCATTGTCAGTTACCTGGCAGCTCTCTGATACTTCATAGCTTGGTTTCAAGTCCACACGGGCACCCTGCACTACAGAAGACAATTCTGGTCCCAGTTAATACTAAGAAGAGCAAGTTCCACTCCTCTGTTGTCTCTGCTGTGGCTGTGGTTCCTATTCCTGGATGCACTCGCTTCATCTCTCCATCACTGATACCCAGACCCAGCTGTGAGACTCTTTAGAATTTCCTACTATACTAAAGAGTATTCTGGAGTTCTAAAGAGACAGTGCAAAATTAGTTTTACTCAGAACACTTTCAGTCTTTGCTAAGTCTTCTAATGGCAGAGAAATGGAGAAGAAAAATGAAAATGGACTCGGTGCATGTGTGTTTGTTTATGTTCATATGCATGCAAAGAGCTGAAGACAGTCCTGGGTGTCAACACTTAGGCAACATCTGTGTTTGTTTGTTTGTTTGTTAAGCTTTAGACAGCGTCTCTTGTTGGCTTCGAACTTGCCAATGAGGCTAGGCTGGTCGGCCGGGGAACTCTAAAGAACGCCCCAGAGCTGAGTACAAGTGTGTATCACCCCACCTCCTCCTAATTTAATTAATATAGTTTATCATTTCCTTTATTACTACTGCGGTTTGAGACGGAGTCTCACTAGGCAGACTTTGTTGTCCTGGGACTCACAATGTGGACCAGGGTGGCCCCAGACTCACAGAGATCCATCCACCTGCCTCTACTTCTCAGGGGCTGGGATCAAAGGTGTGCGTCACTATGCCTGGACAGGTTTCTTTTTCTTCTTCTTCTGTTTATCATGTGGGATCTACAGGTTGACCTCAGGTCCCTGGGCTTAAAAGACAAGCATTTCTGACTGAGCTGTACATTACTTGTAGCTGTGTTTGACTCTTAGTCCTTTGTTCATCCTGTCCATGAGCCACGTGGCCTCTCTGAGCTTTCATTTTTCCTCAGAGGCACAATGTGGGTAATAATACCTTCCTCAGAGAGTTATGACAACTGGGCTAAACAACATGTGATGCCTGAACACTGCATGCATTCTTGAAGGGGTATTTTCTCCAGAGTCCAGGTCAAAGCCGTTATCTCCAGAGCAAGCTAAAGTGAAATGGGCAAGATAGAAACCTCTCGACAAAAAGGAAGTCTCCAGTTTCTCCACCTGCCTTGCTCAGTCTCAGACAAAGCACTGGGAGGCACCATTTTAGTAAGCTTTGAGACATTCAGTAGTCTCTTCTGTCTCAAAGTGCTAGACATTTCCTGAAGTCCAGTGGCACACTTCCTTCTCTTGCTGGGTCCCTGCATGTCACGTGTTGCTGACGCTATTGCTGTGTGTGTGTGTGTGTGTGTGTGTGTGAGAGAGAGAGAGAGAGAGAGAGAGAGAGACTGATTGTCAAGAGGTTATCATTCTTGTTCTGTGTAATGACTTCAAGGTAAGGTTCACTGCGGATCCTCCCACTCAGCTTCTCCAAAGTTAATCAATAGACTTCTCTGGTCTTGGAGGGCACATGGGAGTTTGACCAGAAGTCAGGAAGAAAAATTGAGATGATGCAAATAGACTAAAAAAAAATTGTCACACTCACACGAAGCCTTAGTTTCATCTCCTGAGTTCACCGAGGGAGATTTTTTCTGTCACTGGAAGTCACAAGGGTGAGTATGTGTGGAGCAATTAAGAGGGTGTATTGCTAGCAAGAGCTCTAAAGCCAATTAAGAGTCCAAAGATGCCTGTGAAAGATAACTGAAGCTGACTCCAACGCAGGGCCTTACTCTTTAAACCTTTCCATTTCTAGTATGAACCCGAGGAACTCTTGCATAAACTTTGTATTGTCTTAGACTGTTCATTTGAAATGTGGTAGATGTGAAACACTCAGTTCTTTCACACCCCAGGACCACTGCAGGCAGGGGGGTGATTTGGAGAAAAACTCCAAGAATTAGCAGGTTCATTACAGTCTAGCAAACATCTTTGAAAAACACAGCATGTGGAAATGAGCCAGAAGGATAAGGCTCTAAGGTGAGAATTACACAAATCCAATTATCACAATTAGCTGTTTGAAATGAAGGTTTGTTGTGAATCCACTGCACAGGCTTGTTTTTCCTGGCTTCAGGGGTAGTCTATAGGGACCTGGAAACCACTTTTTAAGACTTTTGGAAATGATGGTAAATATTACACAAGTGCTTAGTTTGGCACTGAAAGTGTTTTTTTTTTTTTTTTTTTTTTTTTTTTTTTTTTTTTTTCATAGAGAAATAGCATATATCATTGGTTCACTGACCTGAAATGTTGAGCACTGACTTAGAATACGATATAATAATTGCTTCGAAGTTTTCTTACTTTGCCGTGATGTACAGGTTCGTGCACATATGTGCACATACATGCATATGTGATGTGTATCTGTATACATGTGTTGGAGCCACAGGCTAAATGAGTATGTTTTCACTCCTTCAGTGGGGAAGTGATTATACAGATGATTTGAAATACTTTGAGAACTACCTCAGATGTCCTAGAATTTTTATACCTAAGAGTCTGTACCAGAGGAATGGTATGTGTAAGAAAAACAAATTGGAGGCTAAAGGCTTCCTACTTTAAGGGTTCAGCTAAAATAAACCAAGTCTTATTAGGTAACAGAACTGACAACATTATCGCTAAAAAAAAAAAAAAATATCTGTGACTTTTCACCCCTTGCATCTTGCTAGATTTCTTTATTCAAAATGTTACTAGAGTAAAAAACTTCTATTATATTTACTTGAAAGTAACTATTTCTTTAAAATTTCTCATTTTTAGTTTAATTAATTGATTCTTTAATAACTGTGCCAAATATCTTGAAAAGAAGCTATAGACTGTTGGCACAGACAATGATGACAACTACAGACCAACACTCATTACTTTTGGAATTCCCTTTGGTCTTATGGGTATTTAATAATTCTAGAACTACTTGTTTTGAGTATTTACTGACATGCAAATGCCAAGATCATGATGTGCATTTTGGAGCGGATCACTTTATCTAGAGATCAGCTTGGAAAAGGAAAATGCACTCTGCCTGGTACTGTGAGAAAAGCAATAAAAAGACAACCAGTTACACGTCAAATCGGAGAGGAATTCAAAGAATACAGTGACTGAAACGGTTTGTCCTAGCTCCCACAAGCTGCCTGGAAAAGCAACCTGTTAGCAGGATGTGGCAAGGCTCATGTGAATGCAGAGAAGGTAGGAGGTAGGGCAGGTATAGCCAGAACAAAGGCAGAGAAACAGACACAACCTTTAACCACGAGAGGTTCCCGGCTGGAGCAGAGAACTCCTGCTTAGAAAATGAATACAAGTGACACAGGTGGGGAAAGAGGGACAGCCAGAAAGAGGATGAAGGGATTTTTAGCTGCATTAACTTGCTGTGCTGGGCACATGATCTAGCAGTCTTCATTTGCTGCCTGTTCATCATTTCAAGTGCTCTGTCATGGGGAATGCCTAACTACTTGCTTTAGAGGGCTGCCAAACCAGTGAGCACACAAGCCAGGCTACTGCAGTCAGAAGTCTCTATTCCCTCTCACAGTGACAAGTCAATCCGACACACGAATAGGAAAATGTTCGCTGAGTATACAAGTAATTGTTGTCCCTGAGGCCAGGCCCACCTAAGTTTTCTATCTTTTGATTGCATGGACCCAATTTTTTTATTCTTTTGGTTTAAGTTTTTCCACTTATAATTCTAAACAGATAGATTTTACTAGAGGAAAAAAAGAGAGAAAAAAGGCCCTGAGATATTTTTACAGAAGTCCAGAGGGGAAGGCTGGATTGAGAGATGAAGGGAAATTTTTACTTTTGAAATGATGACTTTTAAGTAGAAGGGCATAGATATGGGGAGTTCAATGACACTGATTTACAATTTAGTCTCATGAAAAATAAATGATGACTAATGCTTATTGTGCCCAACATGACTCTTTGTTCTTTATCCACACTAACTGGCTTGTTAGCCCCAACACTCCACTTTACAGACAAGAATACTGAAATACAGAGAAGAAACTCTGCAGGGGAGCCAGAATGGGAGCTCTGGAATGCAGCAAGGGAGCCAGAATGGGAGCTCTGGAATGCAGCAAGGGAGCCGGAATGGGAGCTCTGGAGTGCAGCAAAGGAGCCAGCCCAATAGCTCTGGAGTGCA